CCATGTGGTCTCATCTGTGCTACTGACACGAACTGTCTGTGGTCAAGTGGCCTTGAGGGCGATGCAGGCTTCGGGTTTTGACAAGGAAGAAGAATGTGCGGAATGAAAATGATGATATCTCTGGTTCCACTGCATCTTAAATCAAACGCAGTTCACGACCGCAATGCTGAAATGTCCTCTCATGTGTTTACACTTCGGGTACCTTGTTTGAAAAGTGCCATAGGAAGGAAAGATCTGAGGGATAAGTTACAAACTGTGATCTCAACTGTGGACTCAGTGTGCTGTTTTCACAAGTGCCTGCAAAAATGAAAAGAGGTTTTCATGTGTTCTTTCAGTGAATGGAAATTTGGACAGTGACTTACAACAGTTCTACAACACAAACCATTTTCTTCACTAATACCTCCTTACCCATGCAGTTCTCTCCTGTAAGCCATTATAAACACTGAGCACACAATAACCCTAGAATCGAAATAGTACATAGCCACAATGTGCAAAAAGCATAATGGATCTGTAGATTTACAGTGTCAACTGTAAGATTAAGCAAATGATATCAAAGACAGGTTCGTCTCATGATTATTTCTACAAAAATAAAAAATAAAAATAAAAATAAAAAATTGCTAATAATATGCCCCATAATGCACTTTAAGTAATGCTTTCCTTTCTCTAAATAATATATAACAACAATCACACAGGTTAAGTTATTTAGGATGATTGCCAGGTGAAGCTATTGGACATGTGAATTAACCTAAAATAGCCAAAAAGGTGTTGAGGGATGCCAGCAGTACCAGTGCAGCGTGAAGACTTTTCACGAGCACACTCCATCTGCTGTACTTCAAATAAACACTGAGCTACAGTATATGTGCTGCATCAGCTTAAATCAACCATGTCTCACACACTCAACACACACAAACACACTCAACACACACACACACACACACACACACACATCACGAGCATTTCAGTTCTGTGCCACGCTGTGCTGTGTTTGGCTACCGCGGCCACCATATTTAATATAAATAACAGGAGGAGACCTGCCCACACAGACACTTTTCCTCTCCTGGTGGAGGTCGTTATGAGTTCTTCTCTCATTGGCAGGAAGTGTGTGTGTGAAACAGAGGGAGCGCTGCTGGTCACCGCATGCTGTCTCCACGGGAACAGGACAAACATGGACCTTAGAAGGACACTCACGCGCGCACAGTGCTGCCCAAAGGCCAGCATGGACAGACGGTTTGATATAGGGGTTCATTCAGCAGTCATAACTTGGATTGCAGGAGAGTCACGACACAGACACACAACTAACTGGTCATGTGTTGGAAAAGCTAAAACATTTAAACTAAGGTGCAGGTCAGTCCCTCTATGAGAGCACATGGATCATTATCATACCTAGTGAGTGTAAACATCACACTATAACACCAAACAATGCCAAGGCAGAGCTGGACTGAGTCAAACCAACAGACGGTTAACCCATTTTGATCTTTGGTAAGTCAGGCATCAGCAGAGTAGCACCAAAAATATAGGGTATAATAAAAAAAAAAGGCTTAAAAAGAGTGTTTGATTTATGAATAAATATGTTTTAGGTGGAGCAGTTTCCTGTTGAATTACAGTGAGATATACTGAAATGCCTTTCCGTTATTTTTATTGGTTTTAGTAGTGGAAACATACTGAACGCATACATCAATCGCAAAAGAAAGGATAAAGAGGCTCAAATAGATGGTTTGATCATGTTTTGACATGCTTTATAGATTCTGAATCACTTGTAACTGCTGTAAATCCAAGCAAACTAAAGAGACCAAACTCTGTGAGAGAGCAAACTGCAACAATGGATCCTCCTTTGAACCATACAGTCAGTGAGTTTGTAACACTCCAAAGCTTTTTAGTGGAGTTTTCCTGTGTGACCTTATCCGATCATAGGGCGCTATCCATGGTGCTGATCCTGCTTAACACTCCACAGCAGACGCACATCGCCCTATGAAATGCACTGCTGATCTTGTGGGTATTTCCATCAAAGAGAGTGTCAGGGTGCAATAAATTTTAAGATTAGCATAAGATAGCAGCATCATTACCACCTGTGTTCTGTCTGCATCACCTCTGTGCTGTTTTTTTTTTTAACTCGCGTGCCAGGAGACACATTAAATTTTATAGAGGAGGATGCTAGCTTTAAGTTTAAAACACAGCTGTATCAAGTGAGTTTTCAGTTGTTCCCTTTTATATGGACTTCCTGTGTGACATCTTGGTGGCCTGATTACTGGCTAAAGGCTTCAATACAGTCTCTGCACTTCAACTATGATTACACTGAGAATCAAAACCAAAGTTTGTCACAATTTTAATGAATTAATCTTCTAGTACAACAATCAGTCATTTCCCCAGTGATTAGTGGCAAACGTTTTTGTTAGCCATCTTCAAAATGTTCACAATTATTTGCTATAAAACAATGATTGACTTTAGCTCATTGTTAATATAATTTCACCAGTTTTGGCAATATGTGATGGTATTTTCAAGTGCAAAGGTGTCAGATCTTTTGTGTTTACAGGAAAAGTCCACTTTGCACTGACTATTAGCAGCAAAAATCTTTCATTGAAAGGCTGTAATTTTCTAATCATTCATGTAGAAGCAAAACAATGTCAAATTTGTGTCAAAGTGTCAAAGGACCTACAGAATTTTAGCTTTGAGATGGATTTACAATGTCTGAGCTTCGTACATCCTTCTTTTTCCAGTATCAATTTATCATCTGCACCTGAAACGAAACTTCATTTAGGATCTTCCTTTAATCACACTTTCTTCCTTTAAATCAGAATTCATAATCTATACATCACGCTTGTACGACCTTTTAGAATTCATAATCCATACATCATGGTTTGCAGCATGATGTATGGATTATATCCTCATGCGATTTCCATGAGCTTCCAAGACATTTATTGTAGCTGCCGGGGAACTTCATTATGCTCTGACGGTGCCCTCCACATTCTAATGTATTTTGCCCTCTTACGTGACTGAGGCCAATATCAATTTGGTCTGCATAATATTTGATGGGATATCTAGGCTATGCATTCATTTAAAGGCTAATATGCATAATTTCTTGGTGGTGTTTCTTGAATATTCTAGCCATATTACTCTCTGTGTTTTTGTGGACAGTTTCCTTGTCATTCAGTGAAACTCTCTATTGTAGACATAATATCTTTGCAAGAGAAATGTCTTTTTCATGCATTCAATGTCTTTATATGTCACGGTTATTAGATAAAAACATAGACACAATATGTTTACTACAATTTGTACTCTGCTTTGTTTCAGTGTCTCAGGCCCTGAAGACTACTGTACATGTGTTTGTGATGTTTGACCTGTCTTGAGCACAAAGTCTTGCGTTGACCTGACTAAATAAGATATGAATGCTACAGGGTCTGCTACCATGTTTTCAAATCATTCTGTAAAGACTGTAAAGAATCTTTACATATAGTACATGCTGGGTATCTGCAGGATTTTTCAAAAATCAAAAGTCAGACCATGCCTCCCAGAGCTAAATTTAATTCATGAAGGAAATATGTAATTACTAAATATATGCAGGCGAATTATTGGAAAAATCTAGGCCTGGAAAATCTACTTATTTTAAACTTCATGTCTCTTCAAACTCTCAAGGGACCTGTGATCCTTGGTTCTGCTTATAACATATTTGTGGACAACCTCTCTGAATAATACATGACAATACCAGAAGGAATCTCACACGAACACATCCCGCACACAGCTTCTTCCAGTAGACACACTTTTGAAGTGAATCAGGGATCAGGGGACTTGATGCTGTTTAACTGTGTATGAGTGTGCTATGCTCAGGTCCCCCCATGACAGCATCCCATTAGCTGAGCCAATCAGCTTTTCTAACCTAGTTTCCTAGGTTACGGCCTTCTCAGTCACCTCCACTAGACAAACATCCAGGATGGTGCTTGTTGGGAACCTCAGTGTGTGTTTGTGTGTCAGTCTGACTTTGTGGGGACAAATTTGAGCGTTTTGGCTGATCCTCACTTTGAGCTGGATCTTCAAAAATCTAAGAGTTCAGATTTGGTTTAAGAGTTAGGTGAGGATTATATTTTGATTCTATATGGAGTAAGGGTTTGGGTTACACATCAGGGTAATTACAGCACATCACAGTCAATTTTGGCTTTTCTTTAGAACTGATTTTGAGATTCTACTGATCCCTTTTAAAGCCTGCCTGGGACTGGCCACAAGCCACATAGCATGAATGTTGACATTATATGAGCCAGCTTGCAGCCTTAGATCCTTAGATGGGGTCCTTCTAGCTGTTCCAAAGTTGAGGCTTAGCTCTAAAGGTGATCACGATTCTGCCATCAGGGCCCCTTCGGTTTGGACTGACCTGCCTGAGGAGATAAAGCTCGTAGAATCTGTGACTTCGTCTTTTTTTTTTTTTTTTAAATATAGACTTGGCTTTTATATAGTGTTGGGTTTTTGTTGCATCATAAGGTTTTATTGCTTTTAATGTTTGCATTTCTGTAACTGTTGTCTAACTTCAACTTTGCTTCATTGTTGTTATGTTGCCTTCTTGTATGACACTTTTGCTTTGTCTGTCAAAGCACTTTGTAAACTCTTATTCTTCCAAGATGAACAAATGTAAGTGTGTACAGTATGCATGTGTTTATCCGGATTTTCTGAAATGTTTGTCTTTCCATTAATTGAAATTGTGCAAATATTTTACAGACTTGAAATACCTCATTGCCGTGCATGCTGGCAGGCCCTCACTGCCTCCCATTTAAACGTTACTGGTTTTCTACCTTGTCTATAAATTCTGCCTGCACATTTTGTTTTCCATGGAGTATAGCGGTGGAGGCAGCAATATGTAGATGCTGTGTCCACAACATGACAGAGCACAGATAGAGCTACACCATCATCATATATCACAATAACCTGTTTGTTTTTTCACCATCTTCTCCACCTGATCAAAATCCAATATGGCAATTTCAAATGTTCTTATATGACAGTGAATTTGCAGTACTCACCCTCAGGTCTGTACTGGGCTACTATGGTAACAGTCTGTCCTGCGTTCTTCAGAGCTGCAGCTGCCTGCTCATGAGTAGCAGTGGACAGGTCTACCCCGTTTACCTACACATAGAGTACATAGACACAAAATTATAACCCAGGGCAGATCAATGGCAATAAATGTAAAGTGAGATGAGCATGTCATTAAAAACACTGCAGTGAGTCAGTAGGTAACGTATTTAGCATTTGTGCATTGTAAAGGCCTGTTCTATGCATGAAACCATTCCATGTCAGTACTTGCATACATGAATACATAATACAGTAACTCTGGAGGGACTGACAGTGTCTCTACAGTCTGAGGATTAAATCGGGCTTGAGTCCCGTCTAAAGAAAATTAAAACCACATTTCATTGCAGTGGAACACAAAACACAGCTTCAACACACACTCGCCCTGTGAGCTATTAGTGGTTGCTAGCTGAGCGGGAACATGCAAAGAAAACAGCACCAATTAAGTGGAATTGCTGGTGGCAACGCAAATGAAAGCAAAGATGTATCCGGATAAGTTCAAAGTGTCCAGCTTTAGCAGGAATTTTACATCTGTTCTGAGCTTTATGGCTCCACTTTATTAATGCACAGAGACACTTGTGGAAAATAAACTGATGATGGCTCTCTTTATAAGCCTACTGTGTACAACCTATACAGCAATAAAAGCAAAATTAGGGCAATTAATAACAGCAATGGTGACAGTGGTTGTGCTGTAATTCTCTGTGCACTGGATGTATGAGGTCATACCGATAAGATGCGGTCTCCCTTTCGTAGTTCCCCACAGAGATCCGCTGGACCTCCAGCAAGAATGAAGGAAATGAAGATTCCCTCTCCATCTTCCCCTCCAACAATGTTAAATCCAAGACCCGTAGAGCCCCTCTGCAGCACCACCCGCCTGGGCTCCCTGGAAGAAACACAAATCAAACACACACACATTGCATGAAGGCAAAAGATGACGGTACCTGCAGGGTTTTTTTTAGTCTTTTTATCGATTTATTAATGTATGTAGACTTTTGATCAATCAGGTTAAATATTGCTAAATAATATAGGAAGTTTAAATTTTTCTACTATACTCAGCAATTGCTAAACAGCATCTATTTAGGTATGTTTTGAATATGTAAAATCTGTATGATACACCGTTCATCTGAGTGGGAGGAAAGGGAAACTACCACTAAAACAAAGCACCATGTTCACCAGCAGATGTCAGTATTGCACTTTCACAGATTTGCTTTAACACCATAGTGCGTGCGAACACCCACATCTGAGGGTATTTCTGCATTTTCCTAAACACACACTTCTGACTGTTTTGTTGTTTTATTGTTTGATCAGTCAACAAAGTTTAAATGTCATATGAAAAAGGAAACAAAATAACACAAAGGAAATCCCAGTGGACACACACAAGCAACTGCCGGACAACCTTGCATACAACAGGTATCTAGTGGTACAAGTTAAATAAGTGTCAGTGATCTCAGCTTCACAGAATTAGCAATCCAATTTGCTGGATCAGTGTTGGGAACCAAACTTGACCTTCCTAAGTGGATTCTGTTTCAGCCATATGGGACATTTCCACATCAAACATTGTTTCTTTGTCAGTGTAATTAAAATCCGGTTACGTTCATTAAGGCGGGGTGGTGACTCAGTTTTAGTGCTACAGAAAACCTTGCCTTCTATCCACTTTGGTACACAGAAAAGAAAAAAAAAAACACTGGTGAGTGGTTTTGGCAGGCAGTTCATGTACTGGAATTGGTACTGAGATAGAAAGGCTGAATTCGTGTATCGGAAAAACAATTGAATGAGTCACAAATTATTTCTGAATAAGCATCAAATCTCTCATCTGAAGTCACCTGCTTAGAGACAAAGCAGATGTAAAACAATTGCGCTCGCTCAGTGGACGTTTATTAAAACCCACAATCCTCTACTTGCAAGACTAATCAGGGAGCGAGAGAGAAAAAAAGATGAAAGGCAGAATAGGAGAGAAAATAATTGGAGAAAAGAGAAGGGCAGACATCAAAATGACCATTCTGCAGTCCTTCTGAAGCTTATCAGATTTATTATAATCAAAGCACACTGATTGGCCCTGAGGTCTATGACGAAATGAGTCATATTCTGGTAACCACGGTGATGCCAGTCGAGTGACGAGGGCTGTGATAGGCTGTAATCCCTCCATTAAAATGGATTAAAGACAGTAGAGCAGCGCTGAGAGCGTATCTGCATGTGTGTGCGTGCGTGTACATATGTGACCTGAGTTTACATGCCAGACAAAATTTGCAGAGCCATCTGCCTTTTTCTGCCAAACACACACACACACACACACACACACACACACACACACACATGCAGCAGCAGAGCAAGCAGGGAAGGACAGAGGTCACTTAGTGTATTTTGGACTCTCTAGGACTCTGTTTCATAAAATGGCATTGAGGACCTCATTGATAATCTCTGAGGACTTCTGAGGAGAACATGAGACAGGCCACAAAAAATACAAAAGCAAAACTGCTAAATTTAACAGAAATGTGTCAATATTTGGCACATACTGTAATTTTAACTTTTCTTTCTTGGTTGACGTCTATGACAATAAATAATGGCACGACATTATAACCATTTGGTTTCACTTTAAAAATGTTGCTTCTCACAGACTGCATGTTAAAAATTGGACATCCAGTAGTTGACACATTCAAATGTTGTCAAACGCATGAATCCCTGGAGAATGTGACACAAAGAGGCACCAACTGCCAAAACTAAATTTACTGTAATATAATATTAAATGCTTGAGTAGCTTGTAAGTAAAAAAAAATGAAATCAGCAATGTTGCACATTTACTCTCCACATGTTAAGTAAAATATAAAACCATAAATATTTCCTTTTAACAGAACACAGCAAGCGCAAAAAGCGCAATTGTAGATGTCCAGATGAGTACTTCTGTAATACATGTAATTCCCTTTAACCTTCTGAGCCCCAAGAAGTTTTGTTTTTTGTTACTGTCCTATTTTTACTCACTATGGTCTCATTTTTTTACAGCAGCATTAAGTCCTGCACCTCTGTGGAAACAGCGCAATCATGGCTAGAAGTGGAGAGAACTCAAAAAGTCATCTGTGCAGTATGGACAACATTTTTCTAGGTGCCCACAGGTGTGACCATACTTGACAAAAACAAGCTCAATGTATCTTTCTACAAGTGTATACAGTTTTTGGAACACACTGCATGCATTTTATTGATCACATGCATTTCGCTTTGCTCTAAATCTGTTTAATTTTTTTTCATTCTTGCCTTCTCTCTGCATTGTGTAAACACAATCTGCAGTTCAGTCAAAAGTCCCTGAGTTCTCAGGCGACTGTTGGTTGCATCTGAGTCACTGATGGCTTCTCAGCTGTACTGAGCAGCACAGAACATTCTGCTTTTACAGGATCTGGTGCCAACAGTTTTATGTTTTGGTCAATTTTTATGTGGCAGATGGAGCATAAAGGGATTTTGATAAACATCACAATTCTAAGTTTAAATTTAGTTAATTTAACCACATGTCACACATAATTAGTTCAGGACTATCAGAAAGTTAAAAAAAATGTGACAATTCTTTCTGTTTTTGGAGTTTTTGACTGATTTGACAGATAACATGCCTTTCAAACTTGCTGGTAAGGTTTGGGGTTCAGAGGGTTAAATATGTAGTTTAAACTCAGATCATATTTGTAAACCAAAAGTCAAATTTAAAAAATAATGATGTAATAAAAACGAATAGCTTTGATTGTGTGACTTGCCCTAGTAAGTGTAAGAGTTGGCATGCTACCATAAATCTCTAGTAGATTTATTTTTATTTATTGCCAATACAAATTGAACACATGCATTTTGTGGTAATGTGAGGTCTCACCTGGGCACATCATCGTCTCCAGTCATGGCCCTGGGCAGTGGTGAGTATCTGGGCGTGGTCAGTGGGGCGGGGCTTACAGACTGGCTGCCGCTCATGTAGGGGCTTATATGGTTGTCCTGGTGTGGGGAGTACGCTGGAGAAAAACACAGAAACATGTTTTTTTTTCTTATTTTACCATACTGTTTACAAAGTTCCTTTATTTCTTGTGAAACATCCGGTGTTCATGTTCGTGTTCTTACTGTATTGGAAACACATGTATTTGATCACAGTTCACACTGCATTGCAGATATGTTGAGATATGCCGTTTAGTAATGTGTTAGATTCAGAGCAGTGATAAATGACATGTTGTTTGATAATATGCTGATTTGGAGAGATGACAAGTGGCAGTAATCCAGGGAACCAAATTTACCCAGTCTGATAATCAGACTGTTATATAACAAATAAACTGTCTGGGAGATGTGATCATTGCAGGATATATTTTAAATATGAACATGAAAATTTATAAGCGACTTTAATGACTTTTAAAACTCTCAGACAGACAATGTGTGACGACAGGGATGGTGAAGATGCTGCTGCATTAATTTTTTTGTCCTGGAGTTAACTGCATCTTTATTGAAACTCTTCCAGGTAAATTCAGGGATGTCATGTTAATGGCATAAGCAATTATCTGGTCTCTAATAAGTGGTGTGGAATAATTATTAACATATGGTATCTAGCCCTGATCCATTACAAGGTTTATGATACATTTATCTGCAAACATGACGTGACATATTAAACATTTTAACCACTTTTGCTGTCTCAGACCTATTTTAAAAAAATAATTTAGTCATGAGTGCTCCTTCACACTCATCCTTGACCGTCTTAAATTGAGCCAACATGATGATATGCACCAAGGTTACGAGTTCAGATAAGTGGAGCAGAAATTTCCTGAGCTGTTCAAAGTGAAAAGCCTCCACATCAGTACAGACATAAACACTGATGAGCATTATGATCACTTAGAGAGGAAGTAAAAACAGCACATATCAAGCTCTGGAACATAAAAGTCTCATTTGCATGGGACAAAAATTACTTCAGGAACTTTAGTATGTTGTGATAATTGGTTGTCTGTGATTTTAATTAAGTGTGAAAAGCACACATTTCACTGCAAATGACCCACAGAAGTCCTGTGATAATTTCTATCCTGTGCAAATCAGTTCGTCTGTTATTCTGGGTTGTTTCTTTTCTTCTTCTCTCCACTTTTCATTTGCCACTTTTACTGCTTAAGAGGTATGGAGGCTTGAAGGCTTTGGCAATAATGAATAAAAGTTTGAACGGCATTTTGGGTGCAAATTCAGGTGGTTCGTGTCACTATACAGCATAATGTTGATAAATCCAGTGTGAATGTCGCACTAAACAGACACAGAGCAGGATTTCTAAATCACAAGGTCCACAAATACTACTAGTCTTGTGTAAAAAGGGCTTCTGCCTGATTCGTCAACTGCTGCTCCTCATCCACATGGGCTCTATCACCCACATCTGTAATCAGATCTCTTTAATCATTTTACATGAAAGCTAACTTTACCCCGTCCCCCTTTACTGTACCTCGATGTTTGCCTTCCCTCTCCAGCCTTTCTGCTGGTTTTATATCAGAGACCGAGAATGCTACCTTGATTGATCGATTGTAACAATGGCGGTCTGGGATTTCATGACTCATGAGCAAGTCGCTCTGAGCAAGAGCCACGACTCAAATCCTCCGCCTCAAGCAGTAAACGGGAGCTTTCTCTATTTGTGGGAGCAAAATTGTCAGCTTTGCTCCTTGCTGTTTTTTATCATTCGACACCATCTGGCTCGAAAACGCTTCACCAGCTTGGCTGCAGTGATGTGTGCAGCATTTACCAGAGGACTGTTTGACTACAAGTTGAAGAAAAGCAAGAATCTATAGTCTGATGGAGGTGGAATTTCACAAATGTATGTAATGCAATGAGTAAAATCAAACTGTTTTCTAATGGACAAGTCATGCATTGAGAGCTTCTTGGTGTGTACTCACAATTAGTGACATCGGGTGGAGGGAAGTTGTCATTGATAAAAAGGGAGGTGTGTTTGGCCACACGGAGGTACACAACATCAGGAGTCGACTTCAGTGCAGCCACTGCCTCCTCATGAGTTACTTCCTCCAAACAGGAGCCATTCACCTAGAGGTAAATCAAGACATGTACTGTGTTACGCATAGACACACAGAAAACATGGAGACAACACAAATGTTCACTGGAAAGCCACACCAGCCTGGAACAAAAACGTACAATGGGGACGCTATTGTGAAAACGGGAGCCAGTTCTAAATTTAGTAACACAGTGGTTGAATCACTGCTCTTCTGGCTTGAAAAAAGCGTGATTGTTTTAACGAATACAAGCAATTTATATCATTCAATGAATGATGCTATCGGTGACAACGTATCCCAAAACTTGTCAAGGAAACTTCATATGTTTTATTGTATTTCATTTCCATTTATGGTTGATGAAGGCTGTGATCCAGATTTGCACTTTGCATGATACAGAAAAACCAAAAAGAGGAAGAACAAGGCGGGGAAAGACTGAAAGGTGTCTCTTACTGCAACAAGTTTGTCCCCTATTTGTAGCCGTCCGTCTTTGTGTGCAGCCCCTCCCTCGATGATTTTAGTCACATAGATGCTGTTGTCACCAGGGACATGTTGGTTTCCAACTCCACCTGCTATACTGAATCCTAAACCTGAGAGAAAACATCAACAGGTCATTTCTTTTTTTCTTTTTTTTTGTGATGCAACTTCTGGGTGACCTAAAGGTTTTCCTAATGTTTGGATTTGCTGTGTTTTCTCACCTTTTGGCCCTTTACTAGTTTTGACTTAGGAAAAAACATGTAAACACAACCTTTCATAGCTTCCAGGTTTTTACTTGCATCATGATGCTTTACATTCCCACGCTCAGTTACATTACTGTATTGTTTCCTCTTGAACATGCTGCCTTCTAAGACAAGAACACTGAGCCTTATCTGACATTCTCACTTTTAAGCAACACCAGTTTCTGTTTCCACATTTTTTCATTGTGCAGTCAGTCAGTAGTAGGATACCTGAAGCCTGTGACCACCACTAAACTGCTTTGAAACTTAAAGTCAGCACTTAAAGCTCACAGTGTTGTTCTATTTATTTGTTGGAGTGGTGCAATAGCAACAAAATTACAGCATATCTGTGTTTCACTACTTACAGACTCCAGTGTATACTGTGCCTGCAGTGTTGTCTTACCTTTGGGCCCTTTGACCAGTTTGATATCCATGATTCTCTCAGTGAGGCTCCTCCTGCGTCGTATGCACAGTCTAACCAGACCTCCAGCCTCCTTCAGCGCCTCCACAGCCCCGCTGTGGGTCACCTCCCTGACGTCTGTCTCATTTACCCGCACTATACAGTCATTCACCCTGTACAGCAACACCACGCACGGCAGAGAAGTCATTTGAGTGGCATCAGGAGATAAATAGGGAAGAAAAGCAGACTGTACAGTCACTCACTCTAAAACTAGACAGAGAGAGAGCAAGCTACACAAAATTACTTTTTAAGCCACTTTCAATGTCCTTTAAGATGTTCACATAAGGAAAAGATAGAAGGATATTTGATTGTCCATTAATATATAAGTAAAATGACGTAAGATAAGACTCATTTGTAGAAAATGCCAAGTTCAATAAGACATCTTCTGCTAGTGCCTGAAGCTTCTTTACAACTAGCAGTCGTAATGTACCTTCGTAAAGGGCAAAACTGTCAAGGGCACAACATTCAATGTCTGCATTCTTACTGTAAGCACAATGGCAAACTTTAATGGTGAAGTGAAGTGAAAAACTAGACACTCAGTTAACTGTGACAGAAGGTGCACTCCTCACAGCACTCTTTCAAAATGTTGCTTGCTGGCAGTTAACAAAAGCAATCCTGTCTAACTTCAGTGTTTTGTAACAATAATTCTACCTGGTCGATCACTGCGTCACCAGTAGCAACAGAATGAAATTGCTTACACAAGTGTGACGCTACATGTTTGAGCATTTCTGCTGCATTCTGGAAATGGACGAGTAAATGCAGCTTTAAAAATTACCTGATGGCTACTAATCCATTCTGCACTGCCCTGATTTTGCAAGTACATAATCAAATGTTGTTGTTAATTTGAATGTGTGTAGTTTTTTTTTTTTTTTTTTCAGGCAACAAAATGAAGCTGTCATATTGTGATGATATGAATCGCATCTGGTGACAACGCTAAACACTGAAGATTGAAAATGTTAGCGGTAAGGTTAAGATTACAATTACGAGGTTAAGAGTTGGACTTTGGCATGCAGCAGTTCTAGTGTGAGTAGTCCAACAATTCATCACTTAAAAACAAATCTGCGTCTGTGTTTGTACCTGAGTCGTCCATTCTGGGCTGCGGCTCCTCCAGGTATAATCTTGGTGATGAAGATTGAGGGGTCCTCTCCGATGTGGGGGTTATCAGTCCCTCCAGCAATACTGAAACCCAGGCCTGAGTTACCCTACACACAGACACAGAGCGTGTTTCAGTGGTGAAAATAAACATCATCTGAGCAGTGGCACTGGTTTTGAAAGATAACTTGTGGTGTGTGAAGCTAGTGGTGTCTAGGGTTTTTGTGAAAGGGATGAAAATGTTAGGCTGATCTTATAAAAATGTTGCTCCATTGTATTGGTCTTATGACAAACCAGATCATATATTATTCATCCAGACGAGAGATGTTTTTTGATAATGCATCATACTGATGACTTTTAGCAATAAATAATGGAAAAGTCACTAAGATACAGTTATATAAGACACTAATAATCATGTTGGAATCATTTGTCCACAGGATCAAAACTTTTTTGTTGCCAAAATTTCCCACAATAAATTACTACATATAACATATATTACCTCGTCAAATCGTAGTTATCAGCCAAAGGCGTCTTACGTCTTCTCTAATTGTGATTTATTAGCTACAAAAATGATCTTCCCAACTCTTACCTCTCGCCAAACTAATTTATAATTTGACTAAACAACATGCAACACATCTGTTAGAATAATTCTCCAGATGTCACTTCTTGCCAAATGGCACATAATGGATCTCGACATTACCTGATAGCAGCTACTGCACTCGCTCACTAATGCTCTGTCATTGGGTTTTAAAGCTAGTCTGCGTCTGTGTTTGCGTGTATGTCCATAGTGTCTTTAAAGCAGAGCCAGTCAAGCAGACAGAACCAGGTCACAGGAGAATAGAGATGGAGATGGAGAGAGAGAGAGAGAGAGAGAGAGAGAGAGAGAGAGAGA